GAAATATATAAAATTTATCTTTTTTTTAATTAGTCAAGTAAACAATACTGGAACTCAGTAGGTGGTTTTTGTTGAATGTTTTACAAAAATAAAAAATTGTTAAAACACCTACTTCTTTGTCTCTTATTACGTATTTAAATTACCACAAGCTTTGGATTTGAAAAAAAAAATATGCAAAAGTTTTTTTTTCAAAAACACGTGCATTTCATTTGTTAAGTGTTAATTATCTTAAATTTGTCAATGAAATCATCTTGCACTTTAAGAAATAACTTCTCTTAAAAAAAAAAAAAAAAAAAAAAAAAAGTCGTGTCCGTCGGCATTTTACAGATTTCTTGCATGGATGCAATGTGTCAAATAAAGAATGAAGCAAGATCGCATTACAATAACATTGCGATTTTAAAAAACCAAACAAACAAAATACAAAAAAAAAAAACAAAAAAAAAAACAACAAAAAAAAAAACAACAAAAAAAAAACTCAAAAGGGTATTGCATTGGAAAACTATACATGTAAGTTACATTGGATTATATCTTGTTCACCAAGAAGAAAACTCTTTCCTAAAAAAAAAAAATTATCATAAAAATTGCAGGTCTGCATCTTAAAAATTTCATTTTTAAAAAACTAAACAAACGAATGTGTCAACAACAAAAATAATAATAATAATAAAAAATACAATGGAGACAAGATATATATTTACAATGTACTGCATGAAACTGCATACATTCGGTTAATCAATGATGTACACGTATTCTTTTTAAAATTGTTAGCAAATATTGTTATTTGAGTGAAAAAAATTGTTTGATGGGAAGAAGGGTTTTCCCCAAAACTGTTGAAATTATCTAAAACGTCATCCCATGGACGCAAATGAGTGCATTAAAAACTGTATTAGAATACAATGTCACTCTCAATGTACAGGTTGGTTCAGCTGTTGCAGAGTCTGGGGATGCGGTTATTTTTGACGAATATGTCTTCTCATTTTTTTCCAATGTATGCTCAATGGCTTTAAATTTGGCTATTTAGATGGCCAAGACAGGACTAAATGCTGAGGCTTTGCAAGAATGCACTTGTCAGACGAGTCGGGTGCGACTCTGTACTGTCAGATTGAAAAAAAAAAAAAACAAGAGGCCCAAGGGCCACATCGCTCACCTGAGCACTGTGGCTAGGAAAAAAGGAAAAATCAGTTTAGTATTGAAAAGCTTAAATGCATGTGGTCCCAACCTACCCCTGAAAAGGGAGTAGGGGGGGGGGGGTCATGATTTGAACAAACTTGAATCTACACCACCTGAGGATGCTTCCAAATAAATATGACCAATCATAGCTTTGCTGTTCTTGAGAAGAAGATTTTTGAAGATTTTTCCTATATATTCCTAAGTAAAACTTTGATCGTCCATTGTGGACCCACCCAACCCCCGGAGGTCATAATTTGAACAAACTTGAATCTACACCACCTGAGGATGCTTCCAAATAAATATGACCAATCATAGCTTTGCTGTTCTTGAGAAGAAGATTTTTGAAGATTTTTCCTATGTACACCTATGTTAAACATTGATCGTCCATTGTGGCCCCACCCTACCCCCGGGGGTCATGATTTGAACAAACTTGAATCTACACCACCTGAGGATGCTTCCATATAAATATGACCAATCATAGCTTTGCTGTTCTTGAGAAGAAGATTTTTGAAGATTTTTCCTATATATTCCAGACCTATGTAAAACTTTGATCGTCCAATGTGGCCCCACCCTACCCCCGGGGGTCATGATTTGTACAAACTTGAATCTACACCACCTGTGGATGCTTCCAAATAAATATGACCAATCATAGCTTTGCTGTTCTTGATAAGAAGATTTTTGAAGATTTTTCCTATATATTCCTATGTAAAACTTTGATCGTCCATTGTGGCCCCACCCTATCCCCGGGGGTTATGATTTGAACAAACTTGAATCTACACTACCTGACAATAATTCCACATGAGTTTCATCTTTCCTGGCCCACTGGTTCTTGAGAAGAAGATTTTTCAATAATGCCATTAATTTTTTGCTATTTCGTAATTATCTCCCCTTGGAGGAGGGCGTGGCCCTTCATTTGAACAAACTTGAAACCCCTTCACCCAAGGATACTTTGTGCCAAGTTTGATTGAAATTGGCCCAGTAGTTCTGGAGAAGAAGATGAAAATGTGAAAAGTTTACGACAACAACGACGCCGCCGCCGACGACAGACAACGGACAAATTTTGATCAGAAAAGCTCACTTGAGCCTTCGGCTCAGGTGAGCTAAAAAACGGTTCCAGGGTGTTGCATTATTGGAAAGACATGTGCAGGTAGGACATCGTCAGAGTACTGTTGTGCCGTCAAAGTCCTTTAAATATGACCCAAATCAGTCCTGCTTGTATACAACACCGTTGCCCATATCAAAACACTACCAGGACCAAATCTATCAACCTCCCGGTGGCAGTTTTCTACAAAACGTTCATTACGAAGCTTATGTACTCTCACTCTTCCAAAAGGCTTTGCAATAAAAAATCTGGACTCAACCTACATCAAACTGTTGTGCGCTGTTGCCATAATCTGTTGACCTTTAACGTCGATATTAGCGGTATTGTGGGGTCAGAACGGTAGCATGTATAAGTCCCTCGGCTCTAATTTCATCATCCCGTAGTCATGCAGTTGGAGGCGGTCTTGTTTGATTTTCTGAGCATTGCAAGGATAGCTAATGCTGTAGACGACGTCATTGTGGAATGTTGATACAGATGACGCAAACCAATAAACCGACCCTGTGCTGCAGATGTCACGCGTGGTCTGCAATCTTTTTGGCGATCCTTGATTGTACCATGCTGTTGGTATTTATTGTATATGTTAGATATGGTGCATTGTGCAACATAAAAACCTCTTGCAATGTAGGCTGTGCTACACAAGTCATGCTTCCAGTAATCCAATTTCCTTTTTTGTGTTGTGCATCATTCAGATGCGGTATTTTTGAATAGCGTCAATTTTCAAAAATAAGAGAATCAAAAATTCGAGAACCCCAGCTTTTGATAGGCTTTTTGTACCTAAATGATGTGCTTGAGAAACCAACAAAAGAAAATCATACCCGCAGTATAATAAAATAGAGCTCTATTTCATAATACCATGGGTATGATTTTTTAATAAAACGTTAATTCTACGTTAATTTTTTTTTTTTTTTTTTTTTTTTTTTTTTGATTTTTCATATGGAATACATTGTAAATGTGTACTAGAAGATCAATTTATGGCAAAAGACGAATAAAAATATCCTTGGACGGAGGGGGCATCCTGTCCACAAGCACCTGTGTCGCGTAATAGCTGTAATTTCCATCTGTGTCGCAGAAAAGAATTTTTTTTCGCGGAAAAACTGTGCTGAATCGTGGATAAGTGGAATATTTTACCTTTCTCTCCCATTACGAAGCTGTAGTTGTATACACTATCCTTGTCCAATAATCAAATATGTACAGTATACTATTTACAACGTCATCAAATGATTTTTAACAAAACATTATTATAACCTTTACATGTATATATGTATATTGCATCGGGACATTCATTTTTGGACAAATACACACAATTTCTTTGACTAAATTTCAGAGGTTTTTTTTTCAAATGAGAAACTTTTGTCCTCTCTGCGTAAAACATATGTGTTAAATTATGAACGATAATATTTATTAGCTAAAGCAAGAATTTATCCGGTTTATTTATCTGAGTTTAACACTTATATACTACATGTAGTATACTGTCTATCACTTTATACGAGGGGTTATCAAAAAGTTCGTGGACTGACGCGATAAAATTAATATGTAGTCTTTGCTTACAAAATTTATGCGGAACATAAAACAACAAAAGTTTAAGAAATGTTGAAAATTTTAGCTTAATAAGTTGATAATTTGCAAAAATTATTCTAAAATTAAAAAGACTTTATGTGATCACCCGGTGCTGTCGCCGTTTAGTGTCATGACGTCCGCTTAACGTCATTGTTTCTTAATGTCCCCTCTCTCTACCTCATACACTTATCTTGATGAGATTACCTGGAGTTAAGTAAGGACTTAAACCCGTCTTATTTATATGAATTTACAATGTCATGAGCAGCTGTTTTCAATGCATATAATATTGTAAATGGATCTTTATATGGGGAAAGATCCTCACTTGATTATGCCAGAATACTTAAGCTTGTTGGAGTTCAATTTCTACCACACATGATCAACGTCACTTTTCGACGTGACTGATTTTTGACACCTTGACTACAAATCGACACTAACAGTGCATATTTCATCTCTCTGAATCTTTTTGGCATTAAAAAACAAGTACTCTGGATGCATTTTATTTTTCTGTAGCCAGTTTAAACATTCTTTAGGTCAATACCAGTTTTTCCAGGACCGAAACTCTATAGACTGTTTGAAAAAGAAACCCCTCCCCCTTTTTGACGTTATTTTCAAGCCCATAATTGTTTGGACACTCCATATAAAATTTACGATAAAATTTCATAGAAATTACAGAATGGGGTAAAAATTGCAAATTTTACTGAACAAATGTGTCGTACCACATGCCTGAATTAACGAAATTTTTTGATGACAAATACTCATATCTAAAGAGTTTTTCTCAGTTACACTCAGGTAGAAAAAAACGTCATATTAGAGGTTGCGCCGCCTGGACATACTTCTGCTTACAAAAACACTAACATTTTATTAAAAAGTAAAAATTATGATTTATGGTTTATTCCATAGATAGAAAAGATGATGCTAACTAAATGTGTAAAAATTCATTGATGTACCTAAAGCGGTTTTAATTTTATGACGCTAGTCCACGAACTTTTTGATAACCCCTCGTATATGCGTATTTACTTTACGTGTCCCAATTTATAAACATGAAAATGTTCCATTATATTAAATAAAATATCAGAATGTATCAATAAATGGTTGCTTTCAGTGCAATAGCATTTTATCGTAACACAACTTTTGTCAAATTCAACGATCTTGCATATACATAAATAACAGGTCATGTTTGAAAAATGTTATTTTAATTAAAAAAAAACTGTTGTGTAGTATGTCTTTACAACAATATAATCAAAGCACCAATTAATGTCTGTGTTATTTAATCTTAATGATTATTACGTGTACAAACTTTAAACACGTCCACTGTCCAATTACAAGATCAGAATAATGACATTGTAAAATACTGTCTTCAAACCTGCGTTATATCATATCATCATTTCAATTCCCCTTTGATTCGACAAAGAAAATGTTAATTTCTAGGTCTGAATAATCACTGAATTTAAAATTTTCCCACTGAGGAACATACAGCCAGAACGGATCAGTATGACTTTGCACTGATGATAAGCAACCCCGGGTACCTTTGCTGTTCAGACTGTTACAGTTTGGACTTGCGTCCACTTTGATCGCCGATATTGAAGCTACCATGTTTTCCAAGACCTTGGGCAAACTTTTGAGCACCTATTGATTCAAGAAAATCATTTTATTTATGAATTTTTTTTTTAATTTAAAAACATAAAGAATGTTTGTTTCATGAACGAGAACTGCGTGAATTCATTCGTACCTGGAATTGCTTCCTCTACAATGACCTTTATGCCCTCCGTATACTCGCGCTGTAGAGCATCTTTCCTACTCTTTGCATCATACACGCCGTAGTAGGCAGACGAACGATCTGTATTCATGCATCTTTGAGGAAATTTGCTTAAAGTTTTTGCCAGCTCTATTGCGACTTCAAGGGCTAAAAGGTGTGGAAATAATGCACAGCATAAAGTAACCATAATTCTACTACAAAACAAAAAGAGCGTCACAGTTATATATGGTTACGTTAGATTCAATAACTCACGCCGAGCAAAAGTACTCATGATTAGCCTAAAATATATATATATATAGAGAGAGAGAGAGCTTTCTTACACTTTCCATCTGGAACCACTCGGTTTGCCAGACCAAAGTCATATGCCTCTCGGGCTCCGATTTCCCTTCCTGTCAAAATAAGGTCTAACGCACGGGAAAGTCCCACCAACCGTGGCAAACGCACAGTTCCCCCGTCGATTAATGGGACGCCTGAAAGCAACATTTTTAACTTTCTTCAGTAAGTAAAATGTAAATACAGAGTGCTACGGTCATAAAGGGGCATAATAAAGGCACAAATTTCCCTCACTAAGCATTAAAGGCACATCGAATCGCCATATCAAAAACAAAAAAATATCCTCATTAACTTTACAATTTTGAGTGTCTCGCATTATAGGACACAACTGAGTAGGTAAAAATTCTGTTAACATACCAAATCTCCGACAGAAGACTCCCATTTTAGCAGATTCCTCCATGACTCTGAGGTCACACATCATAGCCAGCTCCATCCCGCCGGCAACCGCATACCCAGACACAGCCGCTATCACTGGCTTACTGAAAGCCATTCGAGAAGGTCCCTGGAATAAGCAATATTCTCGTATATATACTTGGATTTCGTTTATTCTTCCGACACAACGGTTCATGAATTTAGTTCACAGGTTTTAGAATGTACAAGTACTATATATATATTTACACCAAGTAAAATATCGGATTATAACGCTCAATACCATGACTACACCCCTTACTGGAAGAAAAAAAATAACTGATGCGTCTATAGCTACAAATTATGACATAGTGTTATTTCACCAATATTTCCATTTTTTCACAATCTTTTGCTATTTACCAATACTTTTCATACTACTTGTACACACATATAATGTACATGTAATATATATATTTCTTGCAATTTTCAAAAGAAACTTTTTATATTTAAAAGATTAGGTTCACCAGATATTGAAGAAAGTGATTACGGTACATTATGTAATTTTCCATCACGTATATTAAGTAGATAGGTTTGTCATCTTTTATTTGAAAAAAAAAAAGGCACAGGAGCAAACCTTTTAGAAAAAAATGAATGCTGATAAGGCTCCATTCATAAGACGAACGGCAACACAATCACTAAAAAAATAACCTTTTTTTTAATAGGAAAAAAGTTTACAAACCATTGGTCCAATCTCTGCGTGGTCTGGGTCATTTGATGGAATTTGCGTCCCCACTTTAGATAAAGCTTTCAAGTCATATCCAGCACAAAAGTTACCATCTAATATTGCAGACAATAAACATTATCAACATTAATTAGGGATGTCAATTTTGTCAATAATTCATATTCGAATATTCAATGAAAGTATTCGAATATATTCGAATATTCGATAAAATAAATAAAATCTGTTTTATTTTAAATATGCATCATCCTACTCTCGTAGGTATACTTGTATAGGAAGTAAAATTGTATGAAGACTTTTTTAGGTGTAAAATAAGAAATTCCATTTGATATTTGTCAATGTTTGAAATAAATAATTGATTTAAATGTAGAAAAGTATAATTTTAACAAATGAAACGTGTATTTATAGTAGCCCCAACTGAGGAACCAGTCGTCTCACAAAAGGCAAGATAGCCGTAACGGTATACTGTTCAGATTTCAATACGTGTAATAAATTACAATTATCTGCCTGATAAGAGATATGATTAAAATCTTTGATACAATGTAAACAAATATTTCCATAGACAATTTTCCTAGGTAATTAACCGTTTTCCCGATAATGAATATAAATTATGCACAACCCGAGATAATCAAGTAATTTACACATTTATTCTGAAATTAAGCCCTTAACAATATTAATCACAGATTAATTCTATCGGACATTCATTCAATGATCAATTAATTTTATTTTGATAAGTATACTCTTCGCGCCTTTTAGATATTCTAGATTTCATTTGTTGTCCTCGATTCTAGATCCGATCGTATCTTTAACTAATAAAAGCTATGAAAGCACGTTTTGTATTATACATAAAGCATTATTGTACAATTCTTTACAACACCTTACTCAAAACAAAATACATGTAATTTAGAAGATTTATAAGATAAGAAAGTAGTGAAAGAAATCAGGCGATCGAAATTGATCGCTAGTAAATTAAACAGGGATAATTCCAGCACTGTTCTAATCAAAATTTATTAATCACACTACTTCTTTTTATGAAATCTGAAAAACACCGAATATTCGAATCTTAAATTCATATTCGAATATCAACTCATCGAATGAATATTCGAATGTTCGAATATTCGTTGCCATCCCTAACATTAATAAACCACATCTGGTTGTGATTTTATAAATTATATAATTATGTCTTGAATGACAACTTTTTAGGTCACCTGAGTCACTCAGGTGACCTATTGCTATCTATTTTCGTCCGTCGTCGTGCGTCGTCCGTCGTGCGTCGTCCGTCGTGCGTTAACTTTTGAACATTTTTAACTTCTTCTCTAGAACTGCTCAACCAATTTCAACCAAATTTGGTATATAGCATCTATGGGTGAAGGGGAACAAAAATTGTGAATTTCATGGTCCCTGCCCCCCTGGGGCCTGAGGGGTGGGGCTAAAACCACCAAAAATAATGCAATCTTTAAAAATCTTCTTCTTTACTCCTGGACATCAAGCAGTCAAACTGTTGGAATCATTGTAATAAGCATTGAGCCCTCTACCAAAATTGTGAAATTCATGGCCCCAGGGTCAGGGGTTCTGGCCCCAGGGCGGGGCTATATAGATCATATAGTGAAAGTGCATTATTTCTTTGAAAATCTTCTTCTCTGCTCCTGGATATTAAATAAAGTTACTAAGTACATAGTTATGATGAGTAAGAGTGCCTCTTCCAAAATTGTGAAATTCATGGCCCCAGGGTCAGGGGTTTTGGTGTTAGGGCGGGGCTCTATAAATTATATAGTGAAAAAGCATTAATTCTTTGAAAATCTTCTTCTTTGCTCCTGGGTATTAAATAAAGTAACTAAGTACATAGTTATGATGAGCAAAAGTGCCTTTTCAAAAATTGTGAATTTCATGGCCCCTGGGTCAGGGGTTCTGGTGTTAGGGCGGGGCTCTATTGATTATATCGTGAAAATGCATTAATTCTTTGAAAATCTTCTTCTCTGCTTCTGGATATTTAATAAAGTAACTAAGTACATAGTTATAATGAGCAAGAGTACTTCTTCCAAAATTGTGAATTTCATGGCCCCAGGGTCAGGGGTTCTGGTGTTAGGGCGGGGCTCTATCAACTATATAGTGAAAATGCATTAATTCTTTGAAAATCTTCTCCTCTGCTCCTGGGCATTAAGGTGATAAACTAAGTACATAGTTATGATGAGGAGGTGGGCCTCTTCCAGAATTATGAAAGCCATGGCCCCTGGGTCAGTGGTTCTGGTGTTAGGGCGGAGCTCTATTGATTATATAGTGAAAATGCTTTAATTTTTCGAAAATCTTCTTCTCTGCTCCTGGGTATTATTTAAACAAACTAAGTGCATGGTTATGATGCATAAGGATGCCTTTTCAAAAATTGTGAATTTCATGGCCCCAGGGTCAGGGGTTCTGGTGTTAGGGCAGGGCTCTATTGATTATATTGAAATTGCATTGATTCTTTGAAAATCTTCTCTGCTACTGGAGATTATTTAAACAAACTAAGTGCATGATTATGATAGACAAGGATGCCACTTCCAAAATTTTTAAATATATGGCCTCAGTTTTTGGGGTTCTTGAGGAGGGGGGGGGGTCTATTGATTATATAGTGAAAAAGCATTAATTCTATTAATTAATCATTAATTAATCCTGTCTGCTCCTTAGTGTTGAGCTGATAAATAAATTGCTTAACTATGATGAAAATGGGAGCTTCGAACAGAATTTTTAAATCTTGTGGTCCTAAGGGTCAGGGGTTCTGGCATAATGGGGGGGGGGGGGCTTTTGATAATATAGTGGAAAAGTGTTAATTCTTTGAAGTCCATAGTTATGATGATGAGGGTAACTCTTCCAAATTTGTAAATTTCTTGACCCTTGGTCTTGGGTTCTGGTGTTAGGGTAAGGCTTTGTTGAATCTGTAGTGAAAATGCATTGTACCTGTGAAATTCTTCTCTGCTTCTGGGCATATCGGAAGCAAACTGAGTAAAAGTTTAAATGATATGAGTAAGCGTATTTCTACCAGATTTTTAAACATCTGGACCATTTGTCTAAGCATTCTGGTCCTGGGCAGGGCTCTATTAATTTGTATTCTACTGAGAGAAGTTATTCCCCTTTTCCATTCACCTTTGATAATTAATCACTGTAAATAGTGTATTTGAAAGGTTAATAGAGTAAGATAATTATGCAAGAATGTTTATCGTATAATTAAAAAAGTACTTTCTTAGTTTTAATTATCAGGTAGACCTGTAAGTAATAGATAAATAAAAATGAGACAAAAATAACTTATCTTATTAAAAGTTCTTCTAAGACCATAAGAGAGGTCAATGCTAGAGGTCTTAATATGGGTTTAAAAATAGTACAGAAGCACTAACAGTTTGTAAATAGTCTGCATGGTGATAGTGTTAAGTGGGGGACAGATTAGAACTTAATTATGTTCCCCAAACAAAGTTTGGGAACATATTGTTTTTACTCTGTTTCTTATTATGTTCCCCAAACGAAGTTTGGGAACATATTGTTTTTACTCTGTTTCTTATTATTATTATTATTATTATTATTATCATTCTTTTTTTCTACTTTCTTCTCCGGTACTTTTTTTGTCCGCGAGTGTTCTCATAGAACCACTCATCCGATTGACATGAAATCTTTTTAGGGTTAATAGGCATGTTGTGTAGGTGTTCGGAACGAAGGTCATTTTGCGCGCACATGCATGTACGTGCGCGCGCGTGCAATGAGTGAAATGACTGATATACTTGATGAAGCCGTAACTTTGATATTTCTTGATGAATTGCTTTGAAACTCAAGATATAAAGATACATTAGTAGTCTAGACAAGATAACATGGTCAAATTAGCGTGAACTCACGCGCATGCACGTGCGCTCTTCTCTGATTGGCTGATACAAAAATCTCAATAATTCCCTTGTTTTTTGACAAAATACTTTGAAATTTAGAATATAAGTATATATTATAAGGTGCTACAACATGTTATATAGGAAATTTCTTGAAAACACGCGCATGCAGGTGTGCTGCAATCTGATTGGTTGAAACTTTAAATGTCTATAACTCCCTTGATTTTCAAGAAAACAGGATGAAATTTATGACATGGATAGGCACATAGAGCTCCTACATTATAATACTATCAAAATTGAATGCAAGGACCTGCATGTGCGTATGCTGAATTCTGATTGGCTAATACTTAAAGGGTTACATCTCTCTTATTTTTCAATGAAATTCTTTAATATTTAACACAACTGTATGTATTGTGAGACACTATAAGAAAATTAAAGTGAAAAATGTAGAAAACATGTGCAAGCACATGCGCTGAAATTTGATTGGCTAATACCCATATGGCTATATCGGAGTAGTTTTCCAATGAAATACCCTTAAAAATAAAGTGTCCATCTATATTACAAAAGTATTCTCTAATTTATTTAAGCTTGTAGAAAATGGGGCATCATAAGGGATTTGGGGAGCCGTTTGGGGAACATCTGTAACGGTTCCCGTTACAATTAGCACTAGTTATTATTAAGGTCTTCCGTCTCCAACGGAAGACCTTATTGTTTTCGTTCGGTTTCTTTTTCCCTATTATTATTATTATTATTATTCCTACCGATTTTGTGCACGCAAGTTCTCAGTAACGTCTTGGCCGATTTTCATGAAACTTTCAGATCTGATAGGTATTGATCTGAACCTTATTGGAAATTTTTTTCGTTGATGACGTCACTTTCCATCTCGAGATATTTAGGATTTTCTGATTTTCAGAGGGTCGGCTTGTCCTGGAAACTCCTCCGAAACGACTTAAGATATTGAGTCACGATTTTCAGTGAAGGTAGGGGAAGGTTTGTAGATTTGCAGGCAGGTGTCCAAATCTCTCTAGCGCAAAGGGCGCCGAAGCTCGGTAGGGCTCAAAAAATGTCTCAGAAACATCTCACAAAATTTACACCTTTTCTTTTATATCTTTACACATGTTAAAAAATTGTTAAAACATATAAAAGAAAAGTTGTGCAGAATGATACGACCTTTCATTTTATTTCAAGAAAAAGGGGCTGACCCCTCAAATTAGGGGCTGAGCAGGGCCAAAAGTCTTCCATCTTTAACTCTTTAA